TTTGGCTGTCATTTCACACCTATTACATTAAGACCAAACATAAACAAACTCGATGTCTAACACCTTGCCAAATAACAAACGGAAATGTATTGTACCGTGTATTTATTCATTTTGTTGCCTTATTTGTGCATGCGGGAGTTGGATTACGTTTTTGAAAAAAAAACTATACCGAAAACAAGTGACAGCCTTGCAGTTTTTCTTGTTTTTTTTTGTGGTGAAACAGTCATTTCTACGAATTTGCTTTCTACATGTGTGTATGTTGTAAAAGTGTCTCACTTCACACGCAGGCCCAAAACATATGTTTTTTGGGACGTGAACGTTACTGGTACACCAGACTACAATATGCTATTTCGGTGCACGGTGAAAAAAAGTCACAGGAAAAAAAACAGTAAAAAAAGCCACACACAAGTATTTTACAGTAATAGTAGTATTTCATCGCTACAAAAACATTCGTCCCGTGCATTTGTCTGAGATAAAAAGTTCATATACCCACAATGCAAGTAATGAATCACAACATGGAACTATAGTTCCATGATCACAACAAAATGGTGTAAAGTTTATCGAAAACGGGATAAAAGTAATGTATAACTTGGCGTAGCATATGATGACTGGTGCGCATCCAAAATATTGGAACACTCTAGTAAGTCAAATGCATAGAAACACTGAGAAAATCACGGGTAATAACGTCACATGTAGTGACGCAGCGAGAACAGTGTTTATCAGCATTAATTATCGCCGACTGTAGATTTTTAAAGAATTACACATTAATTTGAATTTACTAGCTTACTTTGTGAGATGTATTTTATGTGGCTTCCTTACTTCCACTTTTTACCGTGCCTTTATTCAGTATTTCCTATGTCTTTTTTTTCTGTGAATTTTTCTTGAGAATTTTGCCCCATACATTCGCTATTTCTACACAAAGTCCCTGTGTTCTACCTCAGACAATCAATTTATTGATTGTTATCAGTGTTTTCACGCATGCGCTAAAAAACCGGGTTGGAGGCCAGCTTTATAGTGAAGCTGGCGTAGTTATCGGCCGCCATGTTTCTCTAAAATACTTCAAATGAACAGAACTCTAGCGCGAGGCACATGTGATACTGGGAGGATTAATTTAATTGCCTTCCAAATACCATACTAGCTCCATGCAAATACCAACCAATGCGTTGCTTTGCAATGCTTATGTTGGTCGTCTAATTGACACGCCTCATATGAGACTTGTGAAAGTAATTGTAATTTTCATATTTAACCACCAGTGGTGACTCAGTATGTGACCACACTGTAATTCACAGACCATGAATGTGATCGACGAGCATTTTCAAACCGTTTGTGGAGGGACTGTAGTAACCGTGGTTCGGGGGGGGGGGTCTGCACTTGTATAATTTCACAAAAATAAGTACTTAGTACGTGTTTAGGGGCGTTTTTGAAAGCTATACAACAGCATGGGTACCAGTTCTGACTTGGAGTACCCCCTCCCACCGGGCGCATGCCCCCACGTTGCAAAGAAGCTCGTCTGTGTTTTCTTTCCTGTAATTCATTAAACCACAGTCCCTTTGTGGAGGGAGTGTGATTAAACAGTGCCCTGAGTGGTGTTTATTTCACGTCTTATGCAAAGTAGGCATTTTGAAAACGATGTGGGCTGGACGCCGGAAAATTCGAAACTTTGAAACTCATTTTCCCGGCAAAAGTAAATGGTCTAGCTGTCAAATTCACTACTATTTTTATTTATGGCTTCCCTGAACATTCATGGCGCCACTCACGTTTAAAAAATAGAAAATGTAATGCAATGAATCACTGTTTCTCGTGTTTTTGTAGAGCTTTTAGACACCGTTGTTGCTGTGGGCGAGGGCACGGTTATCGTTTTTAGTAACCGTGGTGAGGGCGACTTCATTTGAATTGAGACTCCGCCCGCGCCTGTTTATATACCATGTCGGTCTTTAACATCATCCGGGTAGTGGGGGTTGGGGGTTGGCACGAGAGGGCGCCGTCCAAACTGGATGGAACTTTTGAAGTCAGTCGTCTGTAGGCCATCGTGGAAGCAACAACGACTACTTCACAAAATAATCCTCAGCGACACATTATGCAGAATTAGTTACCCTAATTGAATTATTGGATGCTACATTCAATATTGAGAAATACCTGACATCCCATAAACCACGTTTTGATTTGTTCATTTAACGTTGAGGCTTTTTTTATTCAAGTGAACACAGCGGTAAA